AATAACCGGACCTTGACCAATCTTTTTAGTAGATGGGCACGTTCAGAGTAGAGCGACATCAGGTGATGATCGTCGCTCAAAAGCTGAATCAGCAGTCGCGCTGCCGATGATTTGCGTTGGAGCGTCTTATTTTCCAGAGGTGTTTTTGGAAGAAACAAGTAAAACACTGAATGCTATTCAATGAAAAATGCTTGGCATTTAACGTAGCATAACCCAACTTATATCAAAAAATTTTCACTAAAAGTTGAATTCAAAACGCTAAAAAATTATTCAAAAAGCTATACACACTAACCCATGCGGCAACAATCGACGATAGACGCTGTCAGCAGAGTCGAGCGTCACAGGTTGACGCATTAGTGAGCGCCGGCACTGTGCACTCCACTATAAAAGAAGCTCCTGGCTTCATTCGTTTTCGCTATTGACCCGCATTTTACCTCACAGCAACTCTCCCATACGCTTCAAGGATGGAGGAGAAATTCGTCGCTCTGTCGTTTTCTGGCGCTCGGCTAAAATTCGTTTGGAACTGGGTCTGGAACTCACAGTTCTGCTTCTGTACTTCTTATTCTTCACAAATTATTAGCCCTGTTCATTCCAGCCTTGAAGAGAACAGAACGAAAGCAACGGTCATTGTGTGATCCTGTATGCATCATGTAGACTTTCAATCATGGCATATGTAGAAAGCGCTTTCTCGTTGTGTCATATTCATGTACAAATGTTGACATTTTACTTTATCTAGAGAATGAATTTATTTTTTTCAAGAGTATCCACACAGTGCAGATAGAAAAGACCGTCAAAACAGAAGAACATGCTAAAATGTAGTATTAATACGCAGTGCGAATATTGTTCAACCACAACAAATCGCGGACCCAGCAGCATCTAAACGCCTCGATGTTCGTCTTGTTCATGACCATGACGACTACTGAACGCACTGAGTGAGATCTATTGAAATCGTGTTTCTGGCTCGAAGTGTCATATTGATATGATTTGCGCACTAAAATTCCTAGTAAGTTTCGCTTACTAGATGCCATGGAACCATAAAATTACCTGAAGACAGGTAGGCAAGTACAAGAAACTTCTTGACGCGAGTTAGTGACAAGTCAGTTCTCTCCTTAATAGGAGACATAGCCTGAAAATAAGAAGAAAGGGAAACGATCTCGGCTTCGTTATTTTGCAGCCGCACATTTAATCGAGTACACTCTGTGACCATCTCATCGTGAAAAACTACTAGAGCTGATAGGTAATACTGTAGTAATAAATAACATAAAAGAAGTGATACCTTGCAGTCCACCTTCTGGAAACATATTCTCTCCATTGAAGGAATTTATGCAACGCCAAGTTGGAAATAGGTGGAAGTGAAAGATGAATATTGGATGTCTTTCTTCATTCCAGACATTAAAAAAAAGAAAATTCGAATTTGTATACAAAATTTGAAATGGACAGGCACGTTGTAGACAAAAGCGGTAAGAGTGCAAACTGTTTNCTGATTGTGATCCTTACGTAAAAACAGAGAGCAAGCGAACCCCTGGAGACAACCATTACCAAGAAAATAGTCCAAGTGTACCATAAGATAACAATTTGATCAATGATTTTCTCAATTTTACCAGTAATTAAGGGCGGAGGTGGTGAAGTGGCAAGTGGTGCGCAACCTCATAAGCGGGGTCACTTGTTCGAATCCCGTATTGCAATCCTCCTAGGCACACCGAGCCTTCTATCCTTCCGGGACGTTTTATTGCTACCCGACTTGTTGGAAGGATAAAAACACTAATTTGGACATCGGATGGCCACTGCAAGTCATTGTAAAGGCAACATACGCATTCAGTATGCGGCCATGATTCTGAAGAGAAGTCGAATGCGTGGGCGCATCCTTCAGACGGTATTATTCACGAGCACTTATTTGTTTATTTTACCAGTAATTGAGAAATTTTTCTGAGTTGTTGAAGCAAAAACTTCTCAAGCTGTTGCAACTTGTTTTACCAACTACTATCGAAACGTCCAATATTTTTCATATTTTGAAACGATCTGATTAGCACAAGAGGGCTGTTAACCATAGAGTTTGGTAATTTGAGGACGAAGGTTTATGCCAAGTGACTGTGCTCTATTGAATTCATAGGTCAGCTCATATGGTACAACATCTGAGCTTAAATTCGTTATGCACTTGCCTAAACCCTTCCTTCAATTAAGTACTTTATGCTCTCACCTAAATAACGTACGATGTTCCCTTTTTTAGGCAAGTTCAATGGCTTTTCAGTAAAGTATCTTCAATATCGAGTGAATGATATACGTTAAGTGCATCATCATTGTGACCAACCTCAAGGAGACGACATCTGCGGATTCTACTGATCCTATGAAATTTGGTTCCCGACTGAACCTTGCTGACTTCAGATGATCATAGGACTGTAATCATCGACTGTGGAGGGGATAGATTGACAGATAACGGTTCGGCTATAGGAGTGGCATATAAGCCGTGCGAGGGGAACATGGTGGGCATGGCGGGTAGCGGTCGTCAAAGCAAGTGGCAGCTTCAGCAACATCAGACCATGAGGTTGTTGGCGCCTCACAGTCTTTTGACGAGTTCAACTTGCCGTCTTCATTTTTTCTGTCTTGAAAGACTCCCTACATTCTGTACAACTACAAGTCGATTGCGGCTAGTATATTTGCCACAATAAATAATTGTTCACTTAAGTAGAAGTTTTTTATTCATATGATCTCAAAATCGCATGACAGACAGATTGAAGAAATAGTTTTCAAAAAAAAAATGGCTTATGGGATATCCCCCGAGGATAAATATGTGGCTCATATGTGACGCTTTCAGATCGAAAAAAGGCCCAGATAGGGCGTTACAAAAGCTCAAACAGTCATGTATGTATCCTCGAACGAGTTTCGCCGCCATTGTAGAAGCTACACCGATCACAAGGGGACCCAATGTAGAAAGTTCAAACAACTTGTCATGACTCATAACGACAGTGAAAGGCATACCTGTACAGTTCTGGCTTAATGTAGCTCTTTGGCAGAAGGCAAAAACTGAAATCTCGTCCGAATACACCTTGAAATCTCGTCCGAATACACCTTCCATGTTGTTTTCGTCATGGTAACTTCGTCCAACCTCTATTTTCCATAATTTTAAGAAACTTTATTTTGCTCGAAATCGGCAAACTTTGTCTTTTTTTTTCACTACCGAAGAACTATGTACTCCCACCCTATACTTCTGCTTTTTGACTGAAAATGGATATCTCAAAATTATCGTGCTCAACTGTGCCTCCGAGAACAAACCGCATGGAAACACTTCACTTGTAGACTGGAGAGGTTTGGAAACTTTTTTGTATCGAATGGTTATTTGATTGGAAAATTTATGCGCTCTCGGTCTGCGGTGTTAAAAAACATTTTCATTCCATCTAGCCGCATTGCCACTGCGATTTTCTTCGAAGAGAGCTGGCTGACAGGAAGGATTGTTGCAGATTATTGGTCCATTCCTGTTGCTCAGTATATTTGGACTCTCAAACGGCTCAACATGTCTTCAGAACGACAACTGTTATTTAATGAGGTCTCAGACGGAATCAAGCTTTTATCCCGGCATCCCATCGCGACAGCAAGTAGTGGATGAAGGCTAGATGCGAGGTCACGAGTCGTGTGAAACAGACAGGGGTCCAACCAAACCAACGGCATAGTCTTAGAATTTTCTAGGACTCGAGCTTCACTTGCTATCACGTTTGTTTAGATTTTGCCGATGAAGCTCAAGAATTGTTCCTCTGAACCAGATCATTTATGAGGTTGCAAATAGGCAAGACGATACTTTCATAGTAGATACTCCCCCTCCGGAGTGTAAATCAACGGCTATGTTCCGAAAGCAACAACTTCCTGAGTTCCATGCTGCAATCCAGCATAGCCTACTACAATCAACATGCGACATACATTCATAGGGCGGAAGTGCAATGAGCTAATCAGCGTGAGGAGCGGATCACTTCCATCAAATGGGGTTCTCAGAAATCGCTAATAAGATTTGATGGAAAAAGCGGGTGGAAACTTTAGATGCACAGGAATCTTTGTTCCCTCCTTTTTTTTCTATCTTGAAAGTGGTCTGTTCTAAATGACGGGGAAAAATTCCAGTTCTCAACCGTCTCGTTTCATTTTGGAATCCCTTCACAATGCGCTCATTGTGCTCGAGTTCTTTTTGAGCGTTATTCTTTGTGAATTTTTTGTTCGGTCTTCCAACAAAGAGGTTCGTCCTAGAGAGGATGGCTTTATGATTTTTCCTGCACACCCACAACAGCGCCCTTCCTGTTACTGGATCATCGAAAAATGTGAAGACATGGCTAGCTTCGCGGTCGACATCGAAGATTTCGTATTTATACAGAATCGTAGTCTCTGAGGTTTCTGTGGAGATACGTACATGCTGCTAATAGCTCGAAAGCTGAACGGTATTGTTGAAAAATTGTTGAGCGATGACCCTTGAGGCGTAGTTCAAAGTGGAGCACGTTTGCTGTAAATGTGGACCAAAGTAAAGGATGAACATCAGTTCAGAGTTAAAATTAAAGGACAGAGGTTTTGGCGTTAATCGATCACGTCTGAGGGATGGGCCGCGCACTCGAAATTCATTCAGAATCGCAGTGGCGTAATGAGTGCGTGTGTGGCCTATTACAATGACTCGCGGTGTCCAGCCGCTGTACAGGTCAGTGCTTTTATCCTCCCAGACGAGTTTGGTACCAATTAACCGACCCCGGAGGTACGGAAGGTTTGGTAGGCCTAGTAGGATATCGGTCCGGGATTCAAACCCGTGACCATGTGTGTGTGAAGTGCGCCACTTGCAGCCACACCACCTTCGCCCACGAACCCACTTATCACAGGTTAGGGTATAGCAATACGGGCCAAAGCATGGCCGTAGCTTTGCTTCCTTTTCCGGAATTGGTCAATGTTTTCATATTTGCCAATGTTTTACTGCTCCCAGACGAAACATAACTGTGATGATTCTTAAACGTCAAAATTTCGACCCCCTTAGTGAGAGAATGCTCTTAAAACTTCTTATCACTGCTCTTCTTCCAGCAATTGCCTTCGGCGTCTTGCATGGCATCCCATCAAGTCCTTACGGTACGTATCAGTCCGAATGTGAGTGTTGTGGGTTCTGCTAGTCCGTTTTTTAGAAACGCGTTCACTGGTGTCAGTAATCTCACGTTTTCCGAATCTGCCCGATGGACAGGCGATGATTTGTGGTGGTGTTATTATCACCCAAAATACCGTACTTACTGCTGCTCATTGTGTGAATGATGGCAGTACATTGTAAGTTCTATGATGTGTACGAGTCTTACACCTACTCATTTTTAAAATATTTTTCGCTCAGATGATTCCATAGATACAAAATAGCCTTCAAATAATATGCAGTTCATTATAAGGACAAAAAGGGAAAAGCCTTAGAGCGTAACCAATCCCTTTTTGAAATGCCTTTGAGGAATGCGCCCATTCCCATTCGACTTCCATACAGAATCGTAGTACGTATTGTATCCGTATGTTGCCTATGCAATGACTTGCGATGGTCACCCGGTGTCAGTCAGTGCTTTTATCCTCCTAAACGAGTCTAACACCAAATGACCGAACCCGGAGGGATGGAAAGCTTGGTTGGCCAAGGCGCATATTGATCCGGGATTCAAACCCGTGAGCATGCGTGCATGATAGTGCGCCACTTGCCACTATACCACCTCCGCCCCGAAATGCAAGAATGACCCATAGTGGCTGGATTCCCAGTTTCCATATATTCGCTGGGGAAAATGACCTACAGCTTCCACGAGATAACATGTTTAGGATGCGCCATGTACATGTTGACCTTTGCGGATTGAGAAGAACTAGCACGAGCATGGCATTGTTTTGTTTTGAAACGGTGGGCGGAATTATCATCTTGCCAAGTCCCCTGACCGGAATTCACAGAGGGCGTTGGGTTCTTAGTGATTTGAGAGAATATTAGCATTAGGCGAGGGCACATAAATGCTGGTATCAATGGCTGAGCTTCTACTCTTTTCTATTGATCACACTAAATGTAGTAAAACTAGGAAAATGAAGGACCGTGTGAAGACAGCTAGGAAATCGCAATGCATCCTCGATTCCATCTGTTCCAAGGTATTGTTGTCCCAAAGACCACTGGTATAAACGAGCTATCATGTACAGCATCGTTGGTCTTCTTATTTCACAGCCCACTAAACGAATCTCTTGAAGCTCTTCTCTCGTCGTGGTCACTCTGAATGGAGCCAGTCTTTCTAGCTATACTAGCAACGTTATCAGACAGTCTACCAGAGCCATCGATTTACACTCCAGATACGCACAGGAAAGTTTGCTATGTTTTCGATCGCCACTCAAAAAAGTTTTCAGGCGTTAGCCCTTGTCCACAAATGAAAATCGGTTTTCAGACTGCCCGCGGAAACGAGGATATGGCTCTTTTGTATCTTCCAAAACCTATCGAATGCAAGCCTTATCAAGGTCCCCAGGTCGCTCGACTACCTCCTATGCCTGGAAACAATGTATGAGTCATACCTTCTTAAAAGCTGCCTGCGAACTAGTTCCCTTAGTCACCTGACATACGGTGCAAGGTTTCCTTTTACGTCTTTAGAATTACATTTCAGACCTCGCCTTTCTTCGATCCTATCAAAAGTCCCATCACGGACATCGAATTGGAGAGTGCAGTATGCGTAGCGTCAGGATGGGGACTTACAAGACGTAAGCTATTATCAAAATATCCACGTCATTATTTCATATTGTTTATGTCACAGAACCAAATTTTGTAGCTCCTTGTGAGCACCATGCTTTCTACAATCGTATTCTGCTTGACCCAGCCGGAAAACAGTGAAAGAACAGGTCTTTACTCAGTTACAGACTAGCAGACTTTCATTATTAAAAGTTATTGAGCAGTATGGAGCGTGGGTGAGGTGGCAGGTGGTTCACTATCACACACCGATGGCCAGGAAATTGAACCCCGGCTTGATACTAGCTCAAGCCAACCAGGCTTCCCATCCTTTCGGAGTCGCGCACATGGTGCCAGATCCAGATGAGAAGGTGAAAACGCTGACTCGTACATCCGACCGACCACCGAAAGCCACTGCATTCAGCACAGTTCTAAATAGAAGTCGAATGTGGAAGCAATGGGGCGTGCGGTGGTGAGCGCCCTAAGGAGACGGTATCTCTTTTCTATATCTCTGCTTTGTAGAATTTCAGAGGGTTTCAACATTTCCTATGAAGGTTTTAGCTTTTAGGGGCTCGAGGTGTTCCCATACATTGGCAGGAAAGATTTTCATCGAAAAGCTATTATGATGGCGAAATGACACAGTGGACTTGTCTGCCATTTCTCGACAAAACAAACAAACTTCCTTGAATTTTTCGGCTTAATCGGACTACCGTAGCCACTTCTCCCTTCCCTGGTGTCCAAGTAATATCTGTAGTTATTTAAAGATTGTAATGCCCTTCGTCATTGTCGAAAGAAAGAGAAAACTCACAATGCACTATTCACGAACATTACCACCTGCATTTTCTAACTGCCTGCCCCTATTTTATCAATTCCTAATGATGTGCGTTACCGGTACGATCAAAAACGCTTTCTACATATCGCACTCCTGACTCACCACTCCAGAGCCTTTCTATAAATAGTTAGCCAAGAATTAGTAACAGCTTTACTCGAATCAACATTGCCTTCGACCAGAGAACAAGACGCATGTTGATTACAAAGTGAGAAAAATCAAGAAAAATGCCTCACAAACCTGCTACTTATAGAGACCACTCTCGTACTGTATCAAATATAGTTTTGTAAAAAATGAGCTCGTCAACTTAGCCGAACTTTACTACTTCCGGATAATCGTTGCTAATACTATACAATAATCGTCTTAACTTCAAATCAAATTAGTGGGCCAAAATATGGTGCAAGGCAGTCAGCAACCAAGACTCATTGATCAGTCCTCCATCCTTTCTTCGCGAATTTAACAGCACTTGCTTTGTTTCACTCGTGTGGTTGACGACTTCAATGTCAGCTATCATCCTTATCTGTCATAAGGATATCCTATATGTTTTTGACGATACAGAGTGTATCGTTATCACTCGTTACTACTGAAGAGACCGAATTCCGAAATTCACGCCCAAGCCAACAATTTTTTTTTGAATTTGGTCAATCGGTATCAGACTTGTCTTGAAGTGCTGGCAATTACAGTCGCTGTATAAGCCACATTTGCATCCAAAGTACCAATACGATTTTAAATGCAAGACAATTCTGCGTTTTCCAGATGGAACCTACTCAGATACTCCGCAAAGCATCTATCTACGTGTGAAGCGTGAGAACTCGGACGATCTGTTCGGTTTCCCAATGAATAGGGCTTCAAAGGCATGCAAGGTTTGTTTTCTTCACACTTTTCTATGCCTTGGAAGAGAAGTTACAGTCATTCGTTTGAAATTGTTGCCTTGAATCCTAAACGAATAGGAAGGGTTGGCTACTTTGAAGCACATTCAGGCTGTTCTCTGTGTCATATTGAGGTATAGACTTCAACATTGAAGCATCTTTCCACGTGGGGTTAGCAGTAAGAATGAAGCTCGGGCTGAGAATCAACGTAATGATCCTTTAGTGCCTGAGTAGGACTCGAAAGCATGGCCCATTCTAAAACCCAAATTGGTCAATACTGGTCAGGTTGGTAACGTAACTTAAGCCTAATCTTCATCTAATCCAAAGCAAGATGATCATCGTAGGAGCACTGTAAACATGGTTGGGTAGGCGTCTGGGTAGGCTTTGCCTAAAAGACCGCGCTGGATTTGAATAATGAGATCTTAAAATTGAAACTGAATTAAAGGGATAGCCACTCAAGAGCGCGTTAAGCCACTCCCGGGAAAGACTACCCGGATTGGAGCCACTGACACCGCCGGATCTTTGCAATTCCTTAATGGAGCTCAGTACTTCATTTTGACCAAATTAAAGGTTGGACCGTTTGTACAACATCTACTTAGAGCCATTGTGCTAACCCTCTTCAGCTCCTCTGTGGTGCTGCTCAGTACTCAAAACTTCCGAAGGGCATTATATTCAGTCGTTCTTGTAGTAGAACTGTTTCATGGCCTAGACCGACGAAGAGTCAAGGTTAGATTATTGGATAACCTCACAATTTTGATTCAAAGTAAATGTTTCATCAATATCCCCGGCATAGTCCCTTAGTTTCCGCTGAGAGTTTCTTTTCTTTTCGTTTCACCCTTTCCAGTTCCACTATTCATTCTGCCTTTTTCGGGGATCGCTCTCCAACGCTGTCATTTTCGTTCCCAACCAATTTCATTTATCTGGCGACGGAATGAGAAGCTAGCATTTGGATATAAGAATTATGGTCATTAAGAAAATTTACTGGGATTAGAGCTTCCGATTAAATATAGCTTCACATTGATGTATCGTACATTTTTTCCATGATGGAATGCTTCATCAGGTCAACTTTTCGGAAATATCGTCGCTTCCAGGACCTTGGGGTGGTTTAGTGGCACAGTTCACGATAACTCTGAGGTACCCAATTTCATTTGAAAAAAGGGAGTATGGATTGGGAATAGTTCATCGGTAGTGAAGAAACCGAGAGAATTCGCTAATTTCGTGAAAAATATGGCTCCTCAAAAGTAGGGAAAATAGGGTTTGGACGAGATTGCCATGACGGAAATAACATGGAAGGGGTATTCGGACGAGATTTCAGTTGTTACAGTTGCCCAAGGGCTGACTACATCAAGTCAGAACTGTACACTACCATCTTTCACTGTCGCTATGGGCCATGACAAGTTGTTTGAACTTCCCACATAGGTTCCCTTGTGATCGGTGCAGCCTCTACAATCCCGGTGAAACTCGTCCGAGGATACACATTGGCCAATCTTTGTGCCTTCATGACTCCCTAACTAGGCCGTTTTCTGAACTAATAGTGCCAGATGTGGTAGACGCTGGGCCTCAAATCCATCCTGTGGACTGCAGTTCACATGCGAATGAGGAAGAAAGATGGCACTGTACAAATAAAGTTTTTGTGAACCAGTATGTACTTCTAGTTTACAGTCCAGCACAGCTTTTCATTTTGGGCACGTTATTTCCATTCATAGCGTAGAAGCGTGCGAAGGTGTTCCTGCCTTTGCAAGAGCTTGTCAATTTCCCACCTTTGCTGTGCCTCTGAGCTCTCTGTACTGCGTCTTCATAGTTAGCATAGAGCCCCCTACGCTCGAGGCACCTGCTAAATGTCGATTGATGCTGAATTATGAACGAAGGCGCTGATGGTATATGTATGTTTCTATTTTGCGTCATCAAGCCTAACGGACGTGATGTAGTGGCAAGTGGCGCACGCATGGTCATGGGTTCGAATCCCGCCTTAATATCCGCTCAAGCCAACCATGCATTCCATCCCTCTGGGTCGGTCAATTGGTATCAGACTCGTGTGGAAGGGTAAAGGCACTGAATGGACATTGGCTGGCCATCTCAATGCATTGTATAGGCCGCATACGCAATCAAAACGCTACCACGATTTTAAATGGAAGCTCTATACGGGGCCCATCCCTTAGACTGGAGGACTAGTGCCCAAAGACTTCGTGTTTTCCACTTTTTATCACCGAATATTACCAGTTTCACGGCCGAGACACGGAATCTGTCCGAAACCGCTGAATAAAAACAGCAAACATGTCTGACCTCCCATATACAGCTGGAAAACTAACATTCTTTCTCACAAGGATGGCGATTTATGACAAAACTTCATCTCGGGCGGGACTGAAAATTAACAAAACATCAAGTCATAACATTCTTTCATTTTTGAAATTAGTTGAAATAATTCACTTTGTTTATTCTAGATTTTTTCCTGGTATTTCGGAATTTTGTTTGAAATGATGGTTCGAAAAGCTCCTTTCGAATCCCAACCCCGGCAAAAGCATTTAATGAAGGCGATTTTGTGCCAATACAAAGTCGTTAATCAAGGATTCTGTCTATAAGAGTGGTTTTTTGGATATCAAACGAAAAGGCTAGTATGTAGAAAAAATTGAAGGCACTATTCCTAGAGAGCATTTTTTTCCTGACAACTGTAGGGTCCGATGAAATCCGGCAGAGCAATGGGAACTTGTCGGCTCAAAGAAACAGTTCACAATAAGAATGGTTTCTGAGATTCCCCCGCAGGATGAATTTGAGGCCCCTGCGCATACCGTATCTGGCACTATTAGGCCAGAAAATGGTCTAGTCAGGGAGTTATAAAGGCTCAGAGATTGGCCCGTGTGTATCCTTGGACGAGTTTAACCGGCGTTGTAGTGGCTCACCGATTACAAGAGATCCAATGTAAGAAGTTCAAACATATTGTCATGACGGGTGTGGGTACTTACGTGCGTCCGAGGATGCGCGCGGCAAATTGCGCGGCGAAGTGCGTGACGGTTCGAACGACCCTGGCGCCTAGCATTTGGGCCCAAATTCGAAGTAGAGTAGTTTAGTGAGGTCAGCTAATACTACTAATCTACTCTACTTCAAATTTGAGCCCCAATGATAGGCGCCAGAGTCGTTCGAA